TCCAAGAACCATGATAGGGTTCCCTTTGTCATCATATTCCACCCCACCATCTCTGTATTCAACAAATCATTTTCCACACACTTGGTATGATCCCACACCAAACACATTTTCTCCTCCCCTTTCAGAATTCCTTTCAGTCCACTCATTAAAACCCTTGTCAATTTCTGAGTCAGCGCTAACACCCCATTCCTTTCCCACGCCAATATTCTGAGCAAATGCAGGACGCCTGCCCCTTAACTCTTCTCTCCTCACCATCCAAAGCCTGAAACACTCTTTCAGATCAATGGCAATTTACATGCACATCTTCCAAACTAGTTTATTGTATTTGTTATTCAAAATATGGTTTCCTCTACATTGGGAGACCAAACACTGATCGATCGCCCACTTCACAGAACACCAGTGGCCTGTATTTTAACTCTGCATCTTGCTTTCATGCTGACATCTCTTCTTTAGCCCTATTCCAGTGATGTTCAGCAATTTCAAAAATTCTGTGACATATTTTGTTTCCTTTTCCTCACTTGTTTCAGTTTTGTTTCATTTTCAGCCAACAGCACAGCTGCTGTTGTTTTGTTTCCTTGTTTGTTCTTGCTCCTTCTCCATTTCCTTTATTCCTGAAGGACTAACCATTCAATCTCTCCTGTCTTCCACCCTATCACGACCCCTCCTTTAGAGGTCACCTTACTCCCGACCCAACCCCTATTACATCTCAAACATTTCCAGTTTTGTCAAAAGATCACATCTGAAATTTTAACTCTGTTTTTCTCTCTCTACACAGATGCTGCCAAAACCTGCTGAGTTTTTCCAACATTTTCTGTTTTTATTTCAGCATGTCTTTATTAGCTTCAGATCTTCGAGGATTGATTGTAATTCTTAATGATTTCAATAAAGCGAGACAAAAACTGTAACGAGGTGCAAATGTCTGGACTGAGTACTAACATTTGGATTAAAGAAAAATTGTTGCTGTTGGAGATCAGGGTTATGCGACTCGAAACATTAACTTTTGTTTTCTCTGCACAGATGCTGACTTTCTCAGGCAATTTCTCTTTTTGTTTGACTCAATAACATTTGGATGTAGAAATACCAATTTGGAGGCAGTGATCAGAATTTATCTGTACAATTAATACTGTTGGTATTATAGTCTCCATTTTATTTTTCTCAAAAATTCAACCCAAATGCAGGATTAGATTACAGCCCCATCTGGTGGTATGCACAATGTAGCTCCTTGGCTTCAAATTTGCATGCTAAAATATAAAAAGCAGAAGCGACTATATTCTGCTGTTAACAGTTACACTTAACACATACTCTGGATCTAGCTCCCATTTCTACAACCATCACTACTCCCGTTGCCTTTTATTCTGTGACACCTGCGATCTCTAATCTCACTCACCCTCTAACCTTCCACTGATCTTCTCTTCAGTTTGACTTGCTACCGCCACCGTTTTCAACAGTATAAAAAGTGACATCTCTACCTTTCTTCAGTTCCAAAGAAGAGTTGTATTGAACTCGAAACATTAACTTCATTTCTCTCTCCACATCCAGACCTGCTGAGTCTTTATGCACTTTGTTAACATTGCATTTTTCCAGCATTTGCAGTATTCTGCGTTTTTTTGAGGTAGACTTGGGCTGATATAAAACAGAATGAACCAAGCTATTTACATGTGACAAAATGTGAAAAAATGCAACACACAATAAAATATACAATATCCCATCTGTCCCAAAAGCACCCTTTTACAGTACTCAAATATCAGAGACAATTCCTTCCTATGTCACATCGATGGATTTGACTTAACTATTTCTTTTCATGTCTGGTTTTGAGAGTTTGACTATTTCAAGCTATTTCATAGAGTATTCACACAACCAAACTTACATTTTCTCAACTTTGAAAAATTCCTACTGACATCTACCCAAATAAATATGATCTGAAGTTTTCAACTAAAACCTTTACATTGAGGTAATCTATTTCCTAACAATTTCTGAACTAGTTCCTTTCCCCAGGTGAAACATTTTCATACATCTAATTTCAAAAAAAAACTTCCGTGAAATGAGAAAAATAAACATTTTCCAAGCTGTGTGGTTTTCCCCAGGCAAAAAAAGGATTAATTTGTCTCGTTCTTACTCAGTTGTGTTTGGATTGAAGATGGTAAGATATCATCTTTGTGTTCTTGTAAGTGACTTGCAGGCTGTGACTAAGATGTAGAATGGACACCTCACCACCACCCCATCCTTCATGTTTATCTGCTGTCCCTGTGTCCTCAGTTGTCTTTCAGCCTCCCCACGCCCCATTACTATTCATTCCCTTTGCATAGCTGATAATGTTCTCCGTTTACCTCCTGAGCCCATGGCTTTGTGAATTGCCAGGCCCTTGTTGGTCAAACTGCCTCCCTGTGTGATTGGCCAGAGTGATTGTCACTTGCGAACCACCACACTGGCCCACAACTCCTCGTCCCTCTCGAGGATATGAGATCTCACCCTTCTACCTTTAATTGACTCATAGACACGCAACCTCTTACAGCACGGAAGGGGGCCATTCGGTCCATTGTATTTACACCCATCAATGATGATCTGACTACACGAGTCCCATTTTCTAGCTTTTGGCATGTAACCCTGGAGACTATAGCAAGACAAGCGAATATCGAAATACTACCTAAATGTTATGAGAGTTTCTGACTTAACTGTGAATGTCCTTAATTTACCTCCTCAGCCACGGATTGCTGAGTTAAGTAACATTTGTGCCACACAAATGCCAGTCAATGACCACCTCCAATAAGGGACAATCTAACCACTGCACCTTTACATTCAATGGCATTACCATCACTGAATCCCACACTATCAACACCTTGGAGATAGGTTGGTGAGTCTTGGGGATTCACCATTTAAATATTTTAGCTAAAAGAGCAGGTCAGAAGCTGAGGATCCTGCAGTTAGTAACCTACCTCCTGACTCCTAAAGCCTGTCTACCATCTGCAAGGGACAAGTTAAGTCCCCACTTAGCTGATGAGTGCAGCTCCAGCAACAGTCAAGAGGCTTGACCCAATTCAGGAAAAAGCAGCCCACTTGATTGGCACCACATCCACAAGAATCCATTCCCTCCACAACCAATGCTCAGTAGCAGCAATGTGTACTATCTACAAGATGCACTGCAGAAATTCACCAAAGATCTTCAGACAGCACCTTCCAAACCTACAACTATTTCATAGAATCATGGAATAGAATCTCTAGAGTGCAGAAAGAGGCCATTTGGCACACTGAGTCCACACCACCCCTCCAAAGAGCATCACACCCAGACCCAGCCTCCTACCATATCCCCGTAACCCCACATTTTACCATGGTTAATCCTAGCCTGCACATCCTTGAACACTATGGGGCAGTTTAGCATGGCCAATCCACCTAAACTGCACATCTTTGGACTGTGGGAGGAGGCCAGAGCACCTACAGGAAACCTATGCAGACCTGGGAGAATGTGCAAACTCCACACAGACAGTTACCCATGGCTGGAATCAAGCCTGAGTCCCTGGCACTATGAGGCAGCAGGACTAGCCACTGAGCCACCGTGCCACTCCAATATAGAAAGACTAAGGCAGCAGATACATAGGGACACCATCATGTGTAAGTTTCCATCCAAGCCGCTCACCATCCTGACTTGGAAATATGCCACCATTTCTCCAGTATCTCTGGATCAAATTTCTGGAATTCTCTTCCTAATGGCATTATGGGTGTAATACATGGGTTCAAGAAGGCAGTTCACAGCCGCCTTTTCAAGGACAATTAGGGATGAGCAATAAATACTTCCCAACCAGCAATACCCATTTCCCCTGAGTGAATTAAAAAAAAACCTTTCATGTTGTGAGTTCTAGCCTTCCTCTGCCCTCTGGTGAAAAGCAATTCTCCACAGCTCTCCTCTTAGCCTTCTATTTCTTAGCTTAAATCTATGACCCTTGGCTATTGACCATTCTATTAATAGACAAAGTGCCATTCTATCTAGCTATTTATGCCCCTTACAATCTTATACACATCTTTCAGGTCTCATCTCAATCATCATTGCTCTAAAGAAGACAACTCTGGCCTCTTCAGGTTTTCTTCATAGCTCAGAGAGATTTTTTGGTGTTCCTTCTCCCTCATACCCCTGCCATGGCACTTTACTGCTATTTTCAAATCGAAGGGCTTTCTTTGTGAACCCAGTTGCCATCTTGTTCTTGTCCTCTAATTGGTCACTAATTGGCTAATTCTAGGAAATTCAAGATGATTGATTGTTTCCCACTTTGTATAAGTTTCAGACCCCCATTTCAGTCTGGCAGTAATCCCCCAAAGGCTGCAGAAAATTCCTGTTTTTGGTGTAAAAGATGACTGAAGATAGAATTGAATTGATATAACCACAGGTTAGCAGCGAACCTGACTTTAGGAACCATGAAATTTTATTTGTGTTGTAATATTAATTTTCAAAAGGGAAGTAGAAACCCATTTTGTTTTGAATATAATATTATGGAGACACTCAATGAAATTTATGGATAAAAATAGAAACCTCTCATAATGAAACTGTAGACATTAAAAGCCTGTTCAATATTTGTAATAACAGAGAATAATATTCACATGTTAAGAATGCAATAAAATGCAAATATATTTTCTTGCATTGGTATGAGTTTTAGTATGGAATTTAGCTTTCACAGGAACCCCATGACATCCTCTCAGAGGTGACAGAAGTTTTGCTTTTGACAGCTTTCTGATGAATATCTTTAATGCATGAAATAGCGTGCAAATGAGCACAAATACAGACTGCAGACAGACATTTGTTCAAAATCAATGCATTTACTAGTTAGCTCCAGTGAAAAGGCATAAGGTGATCAGATATACAAGCTGCTTGTTAAATGGTATTTTGATGATTTATTGATATGTCCATTTTTGCATTCCTGCATATTTTTAAAGTAAATTTTATTCCAAGATCAAAAATCTGTTGTTATTTTTCAAAATGATTTACAATGAAATATCTTTTATCATTAGCTGATAGTCTCCCTACTTCAATGAATTTGTTTGGTGAACCAGAAATCCTGAGAAGGATGATTGCATTTTATCAGAGGAATATAATCCATTAAACTGCTGGAAGGGCAACTGTAAGTATATTTTATCTATTTCCTGTAACTGTAACACAACACTGCCTGAGGCTTGATCAATCTTCTTTTCATTGTAGTCATCATATGTGTATAGAATTGGTTCACCATTTTTATACAGTGCAACCTGAACACTTTTGCCTTTGACATGGATGTGATAGGAGAAATAGTAGATGCCTGGTACTCGACATGTGAAAACTCCTGTTTCTGGATCATAGACATGGGCTTGATTGTACAGTATTCGGTCAAAAACTATTGGCATTCCTGTTGTAGAATATGGTGTAGTGAGAATGGCTTTAAAACCTTGATCAGGATTTGGTATTGATTGGATTACAGTTTCTCCTGGTGGGCCCGGGGGACCCAGTAAACCTGGTGGGCCTGGTGGACCAGGGATACCTGGAGGTCCCTGCAGTTTTGCATCACTGGATGTTTCCATACCTTCTCCCAAAAGGGTTCCCGATATGAAAGGGCTGGAAAGGCCTGGTGGACCTGGCTTTCCTGGATCTCCTCTCATGCCTTTCTGTCCTGGAGGACCTCGAGACCCATTTAGACCTTGTTCCCCTATTTTGCCAGCAGGTCCCATTTCTCCATAATTACCTTGAATCCCCAGTGGTCCTTGAAAGCCAGGAATGCCTTGTATACCAACTTCACCAGGTCTACCTATGGGTCCTTTATCACCTTGTGGGCCAGGTGGCCCTTCTTTTCCTTGTAATCCTGGGATACCTTCTTCTCCTAGAATTCCTGATTTTCCTGGAGCACCTGTTGGTCCTTCGTCACCTTGTAATCCAGGAATTCCTGGCAGGCCTATATTGCCAGGTTCTCCTGGTGGTCCTGGATTACCGTCTTCGCCTGGAGTACCTGGCAGACCTGCTGGTCCTATTGGCCCTGATACCCCTGTGGATCCTGCGATACCAGATTCTCCATCTATTCCTCGAACACCCTTCTCGCCAGGAAAGCCATCCATACCTCTGGGACCAGGTTCACCTTTAAGGCCTGGCAAACCTGCTTTTCCAATAGCTGGTGGTCCAGGAATACCTGGTACACCTTGTGGACCTGGAGAACCCTTGCTCCCAGGAAGCCCTGGAAGTCCTGGTTTCCCATCTGCTCCTGGCATTGAAATTGATATACCAGGAGGCCCCTCTGAGCCTCTTTCACCAGGTAAACCAGCAGCTCCAGGTCTACCGTGTTCTCCACTTTCGCCTTTTTCTCCTGAAATACCATGAATACCAGGAATGCCTGGTAGACCTGCAAATATTTTGCCAAGAGTTCCTGGCTCACCTTGTGGCCCTGGATATCCCTTTGGTCCTGTAAGGCCAGGAGGGCCAAATTCAACATCACCTTTTTCTCCACACAGACCCGGATATCCTGGTTCCCCAAAGATTCCATGTTCACCTCTTGATCCTGCAGATCCTGGAGGTCCTTGTGGACCTGCCTCACCATCCACGGCTTTTGTTGTACCTCCAGGAGAACCTACAGGTCCAGGAGACCCTTGAAGTCCTGGTTGTCCTTGAGGTCCTATGTCACCAGTTGGCCCACAGATTCCTCTTTCGCCCTTTCTTCCTGGCATTCCAGATGTTCCTGGCTGTCCTGCATAGGATGGTCCTGGCATTCCTGTCTGACCGGGTGGTCCACACATGCCCGGAGGTCCTATAGTTGTAGCACCTTTTACACCAGGTGGACCTCTCAGTCCAGGTAAACCTGGTGGACCTCTGATACCTGTAAAAAGGAAAAATAGGTATCATTTACAATCCATATTTTGTCACTTTATTTTCTTTAAGTTTCCTAATTAATCTCCCACAGTGTTAAATCTAATGGTAATTCAAGAGGAATGGTTAGAATGTAGAACTTGCTCCTTTGGGGAGATTTTGAGGATATTTAAATTCATTCATAAAATATTAGCATCACAAGCAAGGATACATTTTCTGGTTTATGGAAACATAGTAGTTAGCCAATATAATTTGGAGGCCCTGATTAATCTTTCAAATTCCAAGTTCCATCATGACAGCTGCAGAATTTATGTTAATTATATAAATCCAATATAAAAACCTAGTTTGGTAATGATAACTAAAAAATGGCTAGATTTCTACCTGGAAGGAAATCTGTTGTCCTTATCTGGTCTGACCAAACTGTGAATCTAAAGTATTTCACTGCATCCTTTTTAAAGGCTATTTGAGGGTTATTTGCATGCTCACAATCCATGAATGAATAAATTGAAAAACAGTTGGAAGACAAGAGGGTGGTGGTAGAGGGTTGCTTTTCGAACTGGAGGCCTGTGACCAGCGGCGTACCACAAGGATTGGTGCTGGGTCTACTGCTTTTTGACATTTATACAAGTGATTTGGATGTGAATCTAGGAAGTATGGCTAGTAAGTTTGCAGATGGCTCCAAAATTGGTGGTGTAGTGGATAGTGAAGAAGGTTATTTTCAGAGTACAATGGGGTCTTAATCTATATAAATATGAGGTGCTATATTTTGGAAAGGCAAATCAGGGCAATCCTTATACACTTAATGGTAAGGTCCTGGGGAGTGCTGCCAAAAAAAGAGACCTTGGAGTGCAGGTGCATAGTTCCATGAAAGTAGAGTCGCAGGTGGACAGAGTAGTGAAGAAGGCGTTTGAAATGCTTACCTTTATCAAATCAGTCCATTGAGTTTAGGAGTTGGGAGGTCATTTGCAGCTGTACAGGACATTGGTTAGGCCACATTTGGAATATTGCGTTCAAATCTGGTCTCCCTGCTATAGGAAAGATGTTGGTAAACTCGAAAGGTTTCAGAAAGATTTACAAGGATATTGCCAGGGTTGGAGCGTTTGAGCTATAGGGAGAGGCTGAACAGGCTGGGGCTATTTTCCCTGGAGCATCAGAGGCTGAGGGATGACACTATACAGATTTATAAAATCATGACGGACATCTGTAGGGTGAATAATCAAGGTGTTTTCCCCAAGGTAGTGGAGTCCAAAACTAGAGGGTATAGGTTTAAGTTAAGAGGGTTAAGATTTAAAAGGGACCTAAGGGGAAAATTTTTCACGCAGAGGGTGGTGTGTGTATGGAATGAGCTGCCAGAGGAACTGATGGAGGCTGGTACAATTACAACATTTAAAAGGCATCTATATGGGTGTATGAATAGGAAGGGTTTAGAGGAATATGGACGAAATGCTGGCAATTGAGTTTAGATTAATTTAGGTTAGCTGCTCGGTATGGACAAGTTGGACCGAAGTGTCTGTTTCTGCGCTGTATATCTCTATGACTCTATCTAAGAGAGAAAGAAGTAGAAGGTTACGCTGATGGAGGCCAATGGATGAAGTGAAGAGTGAAGAGGATTATGTAAAGAAGAAGCAATTGACATGGAGGAATTGGTCTGAATGGCCTGGTTCTGTACCATAAATTCTACCTCATTCTAAGCTTAGCCATCTATTCAAGCTGTTTGCATTTATACATTTAACAGATGGCAATATTATGATCTATCGGCTGAACTCCAAGACTTACTAATGTTTGAGGTATGAATACCCAATATGGATTTGGGAAAGAGACATAATTTTGGGTAGCTCACAGGGTACAGTTGGTGAAGACAAGGGTCTTAATTCTATGGTGAGAAAATCACAATAGTATGTACCGTGGAAGAGATGCACTGCAGAAATTCACCAAGTCTGTGTAGACAGCAACTTCCAAACCAAGACTACCACCATTAAACTGAACAAAAATATCAGATATGTAGGAATATCACCACATACAAGTTCCCCTTGAAGGCACTCACCATCCTGACTTGGAAATATATTTCCTTTCCTGCAGTGTTTCTGGGTTCTATTTCTAGGCTTTTGACAATTTCTTGCATGTGACATTGATAAACAAGTTGAGAATCCATGGTATCCAGGGCATTTTGACAAATTAAATCCAACTGCTTGGTGACAGGAAGCAGAGGGTGATTTTCCAAGGTTGTTTTTGAAACTGGAAGCCTGCGTCCAATGACTTATCGCAGGGTTCAGTGTTGGGTCCCTTGCTATTTGTAGTGAACACTGACAATTTAGATATGAATGTAGGAAGTTTGATCAGTAAATTCATAGATGATGCAAAAATTGGCGGTGTGTTAAATAGTGACAAAATAAGCCATAGACTGCAGAATGACATAGACAGACTGATCAGGTGAGCTGAACATTGGCAAATGGCATTTAATCCTGAAAAGTGTGAGGAGATGCATTTTGTGAGGACTAACAAGGCAAGGGAATACACATTGAATAGTTGGATCCTTTGAATTAAAAAGATCAGTGGAACTTTTGTATGCATGGCCAAAGATCCTTAAAGGCAACAGGACAGATAGATGGGATGGTTAAGAAGGCATAAGGGACACTTGCCTTTATTAGTCCAGGCATTGAATACAAGATCAAAGAGGTTATAATAGAACTGTACTAGAAGTTAATTTGGACACAACTGAAGTACTACATGCAGTTCTGATCACTGTAATAAGAGGGACATAACTGCACTGGAGAGCGTCCAGAAGAGATTCACCAGAATGTTGCCTGGGCTGGCACATTTCAGCTATGAGAGAGGCCAAATAGATCGGGGTTATTTTCCTTCGAGCAGAGAAGCTGATGGGGACATAACTAAAATATGAAGGGCAAAGAGACAGGGTATATAGTAAAACTTTTCCTTTTGAAGCAGATAGGAATGAATGTTACAAATGTTCATCTAAGTAACAGTTGAAGTGTTAATTGAAATTATGGAAGAAACAATTGGACTTGATGGTTGATCAAAGAAATAGCCCACTTTTCAACTTGTGAATTTAGAAAACAATTCTCCTGTATAGTGAAAACTCTGTCCTCCACAACACAGCAAGTAGAAACCAGATTACTAACAGCACTACTAATGACACAAACCTGGGATATTTTGTTTTACTTCCATACATATAAATGCAAGACAAAATATCCCATTGGATTAGGAAGGAGTTAATAGAGATTAGAAGAACAGGACATATGGGGTAGGGGACACTAGAGACCATGATTGTTTTGTACAAGGGTCCTTAATCTATTTCATTTGTTCTTTCTGGGCTTTTGAATGACTTGGGACTAAATGATCAAGTGAGACATTTTAAAATCAAACACCCGGTAAGTCATTAGTCATTCATCACAAAGAAAAAATAAGAACATAAAAATATAACTAGACACAAAAAAGAATGAAAGAAAGGTCTAAAACTAGAAAAAAGGCAGAAAGATGGTCAAGTAAACAAGAACATTGGAACAATAAGTAAGACCAGCTTTGTACCAGTAGATGATGCTATTGTGTTTTATGACGCATAAGCATACAAGTTAGAACAGGAGTCGGCCATTCGGCTCCTTGAGCCTGCTCTGATTGTAACCTCAGCTTCACATTCCCATTTACATCCCATGACCTTTCAAACTCTTTCTTCCCAAGAATCTAGCTAACTCTCCCTTAAAAATCTCCAAATATTCTGTTTCCAGTGCCTCTTGAGGTAGGGTGTTTCAAAAACATATGTCTATCTTAAAGAGAAAATGTCAACTTACGTCACTCTTAAATGGGCAACCCATGATTTTTAAACAGTAGTCCCTAGTTCTCCCATAAATGGAAGCATCCTCAAACCGCATTCACCATGTCAAGACCTCTCAGGATCTTATATGTTTCATTGAAGTCACCACTTACTGTTCTAAACTCCAGCAGATACAACCCTAGTCTGTCCATCCTTTCCTCATAAGACAATCCACCCATTCCATGAATTAGTCAATAACTCTTCTCTGAACTGCTTCCAGTCCATTTATGTCCTTCCAAAAACATGGAGATCAATTTTCTACACAGTATCCCCTTTTGTATTCAATTCTACTTTCAATAAACATTAACATTACATTAGCTTTCCTAATTAATTCCTGTAGTTGCATTCTAGCCTTTTGTGATTCACGCGCTAGGAATCCAGATTCTTCAGCCTCATAGAGCTTTGCAATCTCTCACCATTTCAATAGTAAGCTTCATTTTTATTCATTCTGCCAAAATGGACAATTTCCCCATATTATATTCCATTTGCCTTGTCTTTCCCAATTATTTAAGCCATCTACATCGCCTTGTAGTCTCTTAATGTCCTTTTCTCAACTTGTTTTTCTACCTATTCTTTCTAGATCATCATATTTAGCAACCATACCTTCAACCAAATCATATACATAAATCGTAAAATGTTGAGGTCCCAGCACCGATGCCTGTAGCACATCAATTGTTACATCTTGCCAACCAAAAAAAAAGACTCATGTCTTTTAAAAGACTTACTGTCTGTTTCCTCTTAGCAGGCCAATCTTATACCCTTGCCAATGTGTTGCAGCAATAACATTAGATATGGCACATTAGATGTGGAAATCTAAGTAAATCCACAGGTTCCCTTTACACATAACATGTTATTTTTCAAAGAACTCCAATAAATTGTTTCAATATGATTTCCTTTCAGGAAACAAAATCACAGAATCACAGAATTGTTATGGCATAGAAGAAAGCCATTCAATCCATTGTGCTCCCACTGGCGTGATCTATGAGCATCATTACTGAGTGCCAATATCCTTGTTTGTTTCCCATACTCTTGTACATTATTTTTATCCAAATAATTATCCATTGTTCTCTTGAATCGCTCAGCTGAACATATTAACTTTAAACTATGTTGACTCTGCCTGGTTATTTTCATTTTTTCTAATAATAATATAATTATACTTAATAATATAATATAATAATAAATTTAATAATAATAATAGTTATAATCATTTTTCTTTTTAATAATAACCTCTAACATTTCTCCAAGACAGATGTTAAGCTAACTGGCTTGTTGTTTCCTGCTTTTGGTTTTCCTTTCTTTTTGAATAAAGGAGTTACATTTGGCATCTTCTGATCTCGTGGAACATTCCCCAACCCTTCTTGGACCTTGGAAATTTAGAACTGATACATTGATTATTTCAGTTGACTGCTGAGTTTTGCATGTTGCGATCTAAATATGCAAACCAAAGAGATTGAAATTGTTTTTATTTTTTGATGATTTCTACAAATCTCTGTCCATCCTGCTAAAAATTTGCTCAGTGGTGTAACTTCTAACTAGATGCAACCCTCGAGTGTTCATCTTTCGTATATGGAAATGTCCTTAAGTCAATCACCAAAGCACATCAAATACAGGAAAATAGGACAAGTTGGTGTTCATTCTCCTTTGGGAACCATTTAATTTTCCACTTTCACTCTGTTCATTTACCCAGTATAGCCCTGTACATAATCAAATAATGGCTGTCCATGATGTTCCAAAGCACATAGCTTTAAAAGTCAACCCTTCTTTAATAAACTGTATTCTATGTTTAAGCTTTCAATGTGTCTCAGAGAAATGCCCTTCCCCTTGTGCTACCACAAGGATAGTCAGATAGGCACTTTGGGCCTCATACAACCCCGATTCCCTGTCCTGTGAACTGACTTTGTGGGGGAACCGCAGGAGCTCTTCCACTCACACCTCTGATTAAAATAGCAGTAAATCTCCACTGACATAATAACAGCCTGATCAACTACCTTTAAGAAAGAGGCTAATAAAACAATAAAACAAAATTTATAAGTAAAGGAAGATGTATTCTTCATCTATTTTGATGCACAAAGAGCAATGTAAGTTTCAGTATTGACTGCAAAATATTTTCCAGATTTAAATTGTAAGCTATGATTTACACAATTGATGGTTGTACACAAGAGCCATAGAGTCATTGAGTCATACAGCATGGAAACAGATCCTTGTTCCAACTCATCCATGTGGACCAAATTTTCCAAATGAAACTTCCTACTCACATCCATTTGGCCTATATCCCTCTAAACCTTTCCTATTCATGTACCTATCCAAGTGTCTTTTAAATATTGTAACTGTACCTGCATCTACCACTTCCTCTGGCAGTTCATTCCACATATGAACCATCCTCTGTGTGAAAAAAATTGACCCTAAGGTCCCCTTTAAATCTTGGCCAAACAGAATATTTTGTTCCATGTTTTCAGGACTTGTTACAAGATGTAATTCCCACATATTAACCAATCAAACTTGAGTCTGTTGAATCAGGATGAATTAAGACCATTTCCTAGCTGGCTCTATCAATCTCTTTTTGGCAGCTATAGAACAACATTGACAGAAATCTCCCATGAGAAGAGAAAAATATTTAAGGAAATGCAGAATATTATTTAAAAGAAAGGGATTCATGAAGTAAAATATTGCTTTTTTTTATTTTCTCAGCTTTTTCTGATCAATTTTGCCCAGCAATTATCTTCTTTTTCTGAAGACATTGAGTCATTTGTATGATTTTACAACTGCTTCTTTTACCTCAACGAACTGAACAGTTAGCAGTTTTGAAACAAAACAGAAATTGCTGGAAAAGCTCAGCAGGTCTAACAGCATCTGTGGAGAGAAATCAGAGTTAGCATTTTGGCTCAAGTGACCCTTCCTCATTCTGAAGGGTCCATTCTAAAGAAAGGTCACTCGACCTGAAACATTAATTCTGATTTCTGTCCATGGATGCTGCCAGACCTGCTGAGCTTTTCTAGCAATTTCTGTTTTTGTTTCTGATTTACAGCAGCTGCAGTTTTTTTGGTTTCCATTCAGCAGCTTTGATAATTCTTAAAGTTCTAGCTGGTTATTTGGAACATTACAGCTGCTCCTGATACTATTCTGCCTTACATTATTATACAAGCAGAATTAGCTAGAACTAGTTGCTAATCAGTCCGGTTTCTTTCTCTCTCCAATCCAGCACCAAAGCTAACCATCAGGCTGTTTTGCCTATACTAGCTGATTAAGATAACCATACTTAGCACAGAATAGAATGTAAATGTGAAGGTGTTCCTTTTCTTCAATGACTTCCAGTTTAATTTAGAAATGTTTGCAAACAATCCTATCTATTTTCAATATGGTAATCTTAAAATAAGAGGAGAATGTTTACTACTTGTTTTATACATGCCTCACCAGCAATTTGAGAACGCACAATTTGATCAATATTTCATGTCAGTAACCTTTCACTATCAGTGTAAAATTTAAGAAAATAAGGTATGCTTTAAGACATCAAATGAGCTAAAACACATGTATCTGTGGTCACAGAATACAGCTTCCAATCTTCTAATTTTTTTCACAGAGCAGTGTTTTTGTTTTAGCTAATCTGTTGTTTGAGTATAAAATTGAGTTTGCAAAGTTTCTTCTGATTAACAACGTAGTAGCTTACATTATGTAATTGTATGTGATTCTGTTCATATTGTAATGCATAATGGAGACATCATATACATAACTTTAAAAACATGGATGAAAATTAGTTAAAAATCTTCTGGAACTAATTCTCTTCTAAATAAGACATGAAGGGCTACAAAAGATGACTGCTTGAGACATTACTTGACTCTAATTCTGTGGATTCTGTAAAAATGAACTGCCGTGCTGTCTTTAAAAGACATAGGAATATTTTAGAATTAAAAGGTGTAAAAGCAATATACTGGGACCATCCTAATTGCTTTCTTGAGGAGATGAGGTCATTTTGAAGCAAAGACAATGATAATGCAGGGAAAGGCCCCAGTTGTGTACAATTAACTTGAACCCAACACCTTATTTGGAAGAGAGCTGTGATGAGCCGTAGTGTGGGAAGATATGTTAGTTTCCAATTTTAAAAATATCAGACTATACAGAATGCCACAAGCAGCAGAAAGACAGTTAAGTTAAAACTGTAGTCTCCCACCTGTCCCTTTCATATCCATCAATACAGAAATTTGACGTCCTGATAAGAAAACCACTCTGTGATATGCTGTATATCCATTTCATTGAAAGAATCCTGCAATAATTCTAATATACAACTACTGAATCTATTTTGACCAGCATTTCAAGAGTGAAAATGCCTCCTTTAATTGGCCCATAATGCATGCTCCTTTTCTTAAGATGAGCTAAACACATGAACTACAAACTTTTCCTTTCGTTTTTATTGGTAAACGTGTGCTATCGTGTGTAACTGTACTTTTTTGTCTTGAGTAAGTGATGTATCAAGAGACTTTGGGATGAATGCATGACTAAACAATCTTTATTTGAAGCAAAGAAACGTTTGCTGGTGATTAATCCACTTGTTCCTCCCTGACAAAAACATACACTGATCACAGATGGTAAGGAAAGAGAATTTGAATTTCTGTCCTCTCTGATCCTTTTCCATAACAGTATGTTTCCATAAGATTTTTGTTTAGGTAAGAGCACTGGAATAGGAATAAGCCATTTCATCTCTCTTGTGCCATTCTTTCATCTTGGCTGAATGATTTTGAACCTATTTACCCATCTTTGTTTCAAATTTCTCAATACCTGTATGTAAAAAAAAAACAAACCCAATCTTAAACAATTTAATTGCTGCAATGTCTTTTTAGGGTAAGAGTTCCACATTCTATTATCTTTTGTGTCAAAAAATGCTTTCTGATTATAAATCAGACGCAGAAGCAATGTCAAAGTTAGAGAAAACAATACTTGGATAGTACCAGAACTGAGAGATTTTACTTATCAGGATGAATTTTGTTCTCTAAAACAGAGAATACTGAAACCAATAAAGGACCTCAAAATTATGAAAGAGTTTGATAAGGTGGAATTAGAGAAGATAGTCACACTTGTAGGTGAGATCAAAACCAGGAGGTATGTTTGTAATCGCTAAGAAAGCAAAAAATAAATTATGGAGAAATATTTCCCTTGAGCAAGTAGTAAAAAAGTGAACGTTGCTGCCACCAGTAATAAATCGAGACAAATAGCATTGACCATTCAAGGGGAAAAGCAGATGAATACATGAAAAATAAATAAAGGTCACGCAGAGTTTTGCCTTACAGTTAGCATGTCAGTATATCTTTAAATGATGTGCTCCCATTATAGTAACTCTATCACAGCACATGACCTGAGGGCATAAAAGTTGCAAACTCCATCTAAGCTTGGGCCACTGTTGCTGGAAGCATGCTACTGTTTGTAACCAAATAGCCTAATGTCTGCACAGACATAGGAGTGCCTATGAATGTAATATTTGTATATATTAGTGAGCTGTAATAAGCATTTGTTGGATCTTTCAGTACCATGTTACCTTCTTAGACTGTAACTACATGACTTTGAAATGAGATATAAGTAGTTGTATCTGACATGCAAGCAGATTACCCAAAA